GCAAGGTCCCCTCTCCGCGGGGCCCTCACACGCCCCGGCGGAGGAGAAAGGGTCCGAGGTGGGAAGGGCGCCTTTCGGCTGAGCGCTCAGCCTCGTGGTAGGAGCCGGCGTGCAGGTTTTCGCACAGTCTACCAGTAAAGCACTTGCTCGTTGCTCCAGGAAGGCCACCATCTCTATCACCGAGAGGGACCGGCCCGGGAACACGCCCTCACCGTTGTCGTTCACGTAATGCACCGAACAGTGCTCGATGCCGCAGGCGAAAGGCTCCGGCTGGGAGCACCTGGCGTTCGCCTCCCTCATTCTTTCCAGTTGAATTTTGGCTTTTTTAAGGTCTACCGATTTTTTCCTGCGTTTAGCTGTTCTGCCGTCGATATCCCACGTGCTTTTAATTTTCATGGAGCCGAGGCGGTTGTTGCTGCTGCACTGCTGGGCTGCGAAGAAGGCGATCTTCTCCTTGGTATTGCCGGGTTTCACCACAGCCCAGACATCCAGAGGCCCTTCCCCTTCTTCTCCCTGGTGGATCGTTGCAGACAGGGCGTTCTTCTTTTCCCTTGCACTTGGACCATCTGCTGGACCTTTCCCATTCATATTGCACATCGTATTTGGATAAATAATCCCCAGAAGCTTTTGAGATGGAGTCACAAAGGAGGGTTTTGGGAAAACGCTCAGTTTGGTGCAGTTGGTGTATTTTTCTTCCTGTGCTGATCGCTGATGGCTCATAGGTGGGCCTCTCAGGGAATCCTGGCTTATTTCTGGAGATCGCTCTTTCTTCTGTAACTTGAGATATGGCTTTAAGTGCATACCAGAAACCCTACAAAAACAGAAAGGGGAGAAGTTGTAGTTGCAAAATATGCCTGGCCTGGAATTAGACAAGGTGGCCCAGAGTAGGCACCAGCATGCCTCCTACTCTACATCAAGCAGCCCACACCTCAAAAGGAACCACATGAGAAAGGAAAAGCGGCAACCAGGCTGCAAAATCCACCCTTGGAGAACTTCTTGCAATAGGATTATAACCTTAAAGACAACAGAGATCGTCCCATTAGAGAAATCTGTTTCCAGCACGTTGCAAGGAGAAATCCTAACGTTTAAGTTCTACCCATTGTGCAAACATAGCTAGAGGTTCATCCTGGAGCTGGAGCCATCCTGCTGCCTGTTCATTTCATAAGCCAGTTGTAAGGCACACGTGGGTCCAAGGGATTATATTGACATTAGCTACCAGAGATATATATAGATAGAGAGATATAGATATGTTCTTTTCAGTAGATAAAGTACAGTTAAAGCTGAAAAGGGAAATTAGCAAGTGTAATTACATTCATCAGCAATCTGAGCAGTTACCTAACCAAAATGAAACCTACCCTTTAGTACATCGATAATGGCACATTCAGTGTACGCTCCCTTAAGGCTCCTTACGCTACACATCAGATGTGTGTCCCCTCCCTAAAGTGACAGAAGCATCACGGATTGCTGAAGAGAACCCCTTGCAAGTAGGTGGTTTTATGGTTAGGAAGGTAAGAGCTGTGAAGAGCTGACATTACAGCAGCAGCACCAGTCCCGCGCCAGGCCCAGGCACTCGGCTCCTCCTTTCCGTTACACCTTCGCAGAAATCTTCAATTCAGAGCTTAAAAACACGAGAGCCCAGGGCGCTGCCACAGAGGATGCAATTACCAGGAGACTTCAGGCTCTTCTCCCAGGAGTATTGCATAAGCATATGACAGAACTAACTATAGATAACGTTTCCATGGTAATCTTTGAATTGTTACATTAAAAGGCCTCCTTTTTGAAACAGGGATAATCTGTGCTTGCTAGTTTAAGAACAGCAGGTTCAGCGACACATTTATCATGAGCTGATATGGACACATTCAGGCAGTGAATGTCTCCCTTGACAGCCACCACCAAAACAAAACAGTTGCTTTGGTATTGTGTTTCTAGCCTAAAACCAGCTTTTCATTAAAAACCTCAAGCCATAACGTCTATAAAATCAGACGGATTTATAGCTGCAACGCCGGCAGTTAACACACGACAGGTTTGTGTCGGAGAGACGCAGCCAGAGCCCAGCCGGGCTCGCCCCTGCCGTGCCACCGTGCGATGAGGACACGCACCTCCCTCAAGACACCCTCGCTGATGCGACGCAGGGTACCCGAGGCGGGGGGGTCAGCACACCGGGAAGGTGCTTTCCTCTGAGTTTTGGTTCCTCCTTCTGGCCCCAGTGAAAAGTTGTGAGGGGATGGGTGACAAGTGCAGGCAGAGAAGTTTCGGACAGGTACATCAAGAGGAACGGCTCAGCTCGCCTTCCCACAAACGTGCATAAAACCTAGGGGAACCCTTTGGTCCTGTGCAGTGCTTTGAAGGCCAGGAGGCAGGCACTGGAAAGGAGCCCACCATATCCTGGGCTGCAGCAGGAGCAGCGTGGCCAGCAGGGCGAGGGAGGGGGTTCTGCCCCTCTGCTCCGCTCTGGTGAGACCCCCCCTGCAGGGCTGCCTCCAGCTCTGGGGGCACCAGCACAGCAAAGACACGGACCTGCTCGAGTGGGTCCAGAGGAGGGTCA